TAGCTTAATTTGAATATTTCTGTTCAGTTTATAAGCAAATATTGTAAAATATGTTTCTATATTTATTAAGTTGTTTCCACTTGGTTTTCATTTTGATTTGTGTTCCTGTTTCTCTTACTGCACCTGGTTGGTTGATCAAACCGGACGCAAAGCATGCCTCTCAATCTCACGTTAGTGTTCACATTCTATGTAACCTATCTATATATAGCCCGAACTGTTTGGCTTTGCCATTATGGCTTATCTTCTGCATATACCTTTTTTAAGTTTTTTGTCTTATTTCTGCGCTGTCTGTTAATTCTTGATATCTGCTCAATTTTATAGCGCTTAAGCATTCGCCTTCGAAGAGAAAAAGCCTCTCCAAGGCCATACAGCGCTCCATAGACAGCGAGAACGAGTCGACACGTGGTAAGATTCCTTGGAAGCATATTAATGGTAGACAAACTTATATCTATATCCATTCCGCCTCAGCTGTGCACGCCTCGCACTCCCACAGCAGCGGCAAAATTTTCCAGCAGTCGAAGATGCCCACAACGGAGGGCACATCAGCAGCAGCTGCTTCGGAAAGGGAGCGTGACCGGGACAGGGACAGGGACAGGGATCGGGATCGGGATCGGGAAAGTGGGCGTCACTCCACCACACCTGGCCAGAGCAATGTGCCACCGCCGGTGAGGCAGCGCGCGTCCGCCAATCCGTCGACGACGGCCACGACTGCGACGGGAGGCAATCTGAAGGCGCGCGTTCCTCCGCCAGTGCCACCACGCGGCTCGCCGCGTCGCAAGGATACACAGGAGAGTCGGGCGCACTCCACCACGCCAGGTATAGCCACATATCATAATAATTCAAACACAATCCCAGCCACAGTCGGCACGAGCAATACGCTCCAATTGCCCAGCGTAGAGATGCCGCGATTCGGGGAGCGTCGCTCGCCCAGCAATGTTCAGGATTGGCTGGAATTGCACGATCTGTTCGATGTGTGTGACAATGCTAGTCCGGCGCCAGTGCGTCGCCGGGAGTCGCTGCAGTCCGCCTACTCCACGGCACGTTCGGAGAGCAGCTGCCACCGACGGCAGCAGCAGCAGCAGCCGTCGCGTCTGCTCAACCATGTGGACATCTTTCAGCGACAGAACAGTTTTATTGCGCGCAGCGAACGATCCTCGGTGGGCTCCATTGTGCGTAGCTTTCCGCCGATACGCGCCGACAGCTATCGCACCGGCCAGACGACAGTTAGCGGCAGCTCGGAACGTTCGCCCAGGCGGCCACAACGCCGCCAGAAGCACAGTCGCTATTTGCACTTTGTGGATATGGCGCTGTGTGAGGATAATTGCGAGGCGCAGGAGGACAATCTGCTGCAGTCGGTGAGCACATTTCTCGAGGTCAAGCGCGAGCTGGAGGGCACCAACCGGCGGCAGAGAGCATTGCCCGTGCTGGAGCTGCCGGCAGAGCAGTTGTCCGACGAGGATGAACAGCCAGCCCAGTTGTCCACAGCACCACAGCGCCCGAAACGTGCCAAGAGACGCGCACCGAAAGCGGCGCCCTCGACCATACCCGAGAGCACGGACACCCAATCGATGGGCGGCACATTGCGGGATTCGCTTGACTTGAGACGCAATAGTTGTGCCTAGACTGCAGCATGCTTTCCATTTCCCATATCCCAGCCACTTTTCTGATTGACTTGCTGCTCATCCTTCTAATTCCTTTGCTTTGGTTCTCATTGTATTGCTAGGCACAACTCCATCATGCAGTTCAACACCTCCCCCTGCCTTTGACGACATCTCCGAGGACAGCTCGAACAAGAACAGCACATCCTCGACTGGGCGCAGGTCGCAGCACCATCATCATCATCATCATCATCACCAGCAACAGCAGCAGCAGCAGCAACCTTCCTATTATCAGCAACAGCCACAGTATTTGGAACGAAAAATGAATATTGGTCCCGCCTATCGTGGCTCCTATAAGGAGGATATCGTGAGGTAATTGCATGCCTAACTAATAATCGGGCTCATCCGGATCTGGAACTAACTTGTCTGCGTATTGGCAGCGTCTCTGAGGTGCATCTGGACACGTTTCTGGCGGTGGACACCTCAACGAGCAGTCACTATGGCTCACGTGGCGGCTTGGCCTGGACGCCACCGGCATCAGGTGAGGGCTCAACACCCACTTGGACAGAGGGCACACCCAGTTTTACGGACTCCAGTTCGAGTGGTGATCTCGGTAATTGGCACTTGTCATTTCTATTTTGCAAATCAAATCATTTTGTGTTGTGTATAAATATATATATGTGTATATTTTCATTCACGCTTACAATCGTAGACAACTTCTCGCCCATAAATTCATCTAAAATCGATCGACACAAGCCGACAGTGGAAGATGCCATCAACTCTCTGTCCTCGGGAATGGTAAATATCGCTGGTGATCGTGGTGGCAATTTCTAGATCGACTCTAGATACACTGATAAGCTTAAGGCAACACAAACGAAACTTCTCCAAAAACACGACAAACAAGAGAGAACGACCACATTCGGCACACCGATGTTTAAATACCCTTGTAGACATATAGCTTACGGTTTTTCAAGATATGTGACTTGCATACTCCAGTTCCCAATTGCTGCGCTTAGACAAGATATCTTGAAAACAAAATAGTTTTCTACACAAAAAATGATTATTACAAATCTATATGATATAATGGTCCGATGTGATAAGTGGAGCGTGTTTAGGCCAAGTTTGGTCGCGAAATCTTGAAAAAGAAACTGATCGCACCCGTTTCAGCTATATTATATAGTCTCCCTATGCGTTGCACACTTCTTGACAAAATTAAAATACCCTCTACAAGGGCATTGAAACCCACCCACAAACCCACTAACTCGCGCTGAGCTTCACACATCTAGTATTTCTTCTTATTTTCCAAAATCCACTTGAATACCTTTGTTGTTTTTTTCAGTTGCACACAGTTTTATTTTCCACACTTACATACATATACATATATATTTAATAAGTCGACATATATTACATCCTTATAGATCAACTAACATAGCATGTGATGATGGACACAGAACAAAAGCAGCAACTAATTCTCGTATACATGAGGCAAACAGAATTCGAATAAAAGTACAGACAAACATATTGCAAGGATAATGCTCGAGTGTTTAGGTACAGAGGTGTGCACATACTTTGATATATAATAGATACTGGGTATGTATATGTATGTACATATTTGTGTATGGAGTGCACGTGTATAGCTAGGATATAATCAAAAGGCGACCTTGTAGAGCTCCATGAATGAAGTACCCGGAAATCAGATTCAACACTTCCCCACACATCCAGCAATTTCTACATGCATTCGTATATTTACAGGATACCAGCAACAGATATCGTTCAAGAAATATATATATATATATACAAACAAAATACATATATACATATAATATACGAATACAATAAATTTATCTATTTGCATACCCAAGGCAACAATAATTATAATTGATATTATATATATATACAAATTACAAAACAAATCAAATATGATGCAAACGTTGACAAAATGCAATTCCAGTTCCCGTTCCTTGACCCGCGTTCCATATAATAATTATATTAATAATGTGTACTAAAAAAATCGTTCGGCTCGATGATATTTGCTAGAAGAAGGGTGAATGAATAATATCGAATTATACAATACCGCAAAATTAAAGCAAATATATGATCAAATTAAAAGGAAACATTTTTGCTATACTTTCGATCTCCGATATATCCACATACGTATTATGTACACCTATGTATAATCAGCAATCGCGATATTACAATATTGTTGTAAAATATTGAAATTTATAGGACAGTCAACCAACCAAAAATCAAATTTCTATGCATATTATTCATTTGTATTTATTAATGGTAATTGTAAACATGCTTAGGTTTAGAGGACGCGCACTCAAAAAACAAACTAACATGACGGGAACGACAGACGGACTCAACGGATCAGATAGGGCCTAGGTCTTGTACTCGAGAAGCAAATACGAAAGAATTGATTATTTATTAATTAGTTGAATGTTATTTAACTTATATGCATTATTCTAAAGATTACTGAAATCCAATTGTAATTACATACAATAAATTAAATTGCAAGGTTGAAATTCTCTGCCCTCGGCTATGCTCTACTTGATCGGAAATGCACATTTGCTAACAATTTAACATACTTAGTACAACTTTTGCAGGTCCTTCAGGGATTGATTTAAGAACTGATTGGTCCAGTCATTCTCGGGATTATCCAGATGGTTATCGAAATCGATAACGTCCCGCATGGCACCTCTCTTCAGCAGCAGCGACACACCTTCTAAAGTTTGTGACGACTGAACCAGCGAATATTTGGCCTTTGACCAGCGACTGGATTCACTCGAATAGCCGTACACCTGTAGCGCCGGTCGATTGTGCTCCAGGGACACCAGCTTGTTGTCAACGACTGCGAAGCATGCGTTCTTAAAGTTTTCCTGTATCTTGTCAGCAATTTTGGCAGCTGGTGCCTTTTCGATTTGGTTATCGTAAAAGTTCTCCGGCGCGGCATAGTAGCCGGCTATAACTAGCCCCTCACTTTCAGCGTAGGCATCAATCTGCAGTTGCGTCAATTTTAGAGAGTAGAACACTTGGAAACCTCTGATATGTTAAATTATTCAACTTACTTGGATTAGTGCTATTTCTGCCATAGGCGTGACATTAAGGCACTGGTGGAATAGAGGGATTGCATCTGTGATTTGGACCTTAGAACCTTTTGGCTTTTTCTCGGCCAGCAGTAGGCCGTTAACAGCCTGGTGTGGGTATTTGGCCGCATGGAATATTATTTTAGTGTATGCGGTCTCGGAGAACTCATATTCACTCATTTCAACTGATTATTTTGTAAATTTTCCTATTCGAAAAGTTGACTTGTAACTTTGTCCAATCAATTAACTTTCAGTATGACCGTACATGGCAACTATAGAAATACTCGATAGTCAAGAAAAAATACCAATCTTTTTGGAATTCGACTTTTACAGAAAATAATTGTTTTTATATATTTCCAGGCATAGGCAGATAGATCAACATTCCCATTGGTCCGGGTTTCTTAACATTTATTAGCCATAAGTTAGTCAATCGTATTTTTTCTATTAACTATTGACAGTATTTTTATTTATCGCACATCGTTTAATAACATTGCAGCTCCTGTTAGTTGGCCTACAGCTGAAGCACGTACCTGGTGTGTAAAGAAAAAACAATCCACCCTAGCAGAAATGATAAACTACAAATATGCTTGTTCATGGTGTTCACTCGGTGTATATTATAGAAAAACATACATAAAAAAATATTTATAACATTTTATTTCTTAACTGTTCGTCTGCGTCCCGATCTTTTTCTGGTATTCTTTTTCAGAGTGTTTACGTTTATATTGTAACTAAAATATATGTAATTATATGTACTTATATGCAGTGCACGTTAAACTGAAGCCAATCAGAAAACAAATACTACTGGTTATCATTTAATATTGCCTTGATATCATCAGCATCCAGAGTCTCGTATTTTAGCAGTGCCTCTGCCAGCGCCTTGTGTTCCTTTGTGTGCTTCTTGAGAATGGCCTTCGCACGCTCATAACTGTCACTCAGAATTCGCTTGATCTCGGCATCCACGGCTTCCACAGTGTTTGGTCCCAAAGTTTCACCGGACCCCAGGCCCTTTGCTGATTCAATTGTTCGGAGACCGACCTTCTCCGACATGCCCCAATCCTTAACCATATGCGTGGCAATTGACGTGGCCTGCTTCAGATCGCTGCTTGCGCCAGACGTGATTTTCTCGGTGCCAAAGATGATCTCCTCGGCGGCACGACCGCCCATCATTGTGTCTATCATTGCCAGCAGTTGGGCCTTTGTGACATGGTAGCGCTCTTTCTCTGGTATGTAGGCTGTGTGTCCCAGTGAGGGTCCACGCGGCATTATTGTAACCTTATGCAAAGGATGCGATTCCTTTGTGTAGAAGGCCACAATCGCATGGCCTCCCTCATGGTATGCTGTTATTGTATTTGCCTCTTCGTCGGGCAGACGCGCCTTACGCTCCGGACCCATAAGTACTTTGTCACGTGCCGTTTCCAAATGTTTCATATTCACAGTCTCCGCTCCGTCGATGGCAGCTCTGCGGAAACAATAAAACTGAAATCATTGCTGAATAAAAATATTGGAGAGACCACTCACCTCAGAGCAGCTTGGTTAATCATATTCTCCAAATCCGCGCCAGTAAAGCCCGAAGTGCCACGTGCTAACATATCTAAGTCCACGTCATCATGTAGAATCTTTTCCAAATACAACGACAGAATTTCCTTACGACCAGTAAAATCGGGAGTAGACACCACAACCTCAACATCAAAGCGACCAGGACGAAGTAATGCTTGATCCAAATCATCGCGACGATTCGTTGCACCAAGCACTATGACACCGGCATTCTGATGGAAGCCATCCATTTCGGAAAGCAATTGATTTATGGTCTGATTAGCATATGGATGGAGTACAGAGTTTGTACGTTTGGCGCCAACCGAATCGATCTCGTCAATGAATATGACACAGGGAGCACGTGCCTTGGCTGCCTCTGTTGACAATTGATGCAGTGGAAATAAGAGATACAATAATAATTATTTATTTGGCATCCAGTACTTACTAAACAGATCTCTGACACGTCTGGCTCCCTGGCCCACCAGGACTTCATCGAACTCAGGGCCAGCGGCATGGAAGAATGGAACGCTTGCCTCGCCAGCAACAGCGCGGGCCAGCAAGGTTTTTCCGGTGCCAGGCGGGCCAACGAGGAGCACACCCTTTGGCAGCTTACCACCCAAATTCGAAAATTTGTCGGGATTCTTGAGAAACTCAACCACCTCTTTGAGCTCCTGCTTGGCCTCATCACAGCCCTTAACATCATCGAATGTAACGTGTATCTCCTCCGGATCGACTTCAACCTGACTGCCCAGTTGTATGCTGCTAAAAGACAAGTTTTTAGAATTGATAATACGAGGCAAGAGAGACTTGAATGCTTACCGGAAAACGGATCCATTCGAAGAGGTAAAGAAGCTCATGAAGATTCCAATGAAAACGACGATAACAATGAGTGTCTGGAAAATCTGCGTGATAATTACTGATCATTATTCACAACACTAAGGAGCGAACAGACTACAAAACCAGGAACTAAAGCTATCTTCGAAAAATCGACACGATGCTATTAGATTTAATCAATATTAATACCTAGGCGAAATTGAAATACCGTGCTTTGCTACAGGCAAGAAATTAACCATTCTAAGAACTCGTATTCGGACAGAAGGTACACGATCGGAGATGCTTTCTGCGATGGGTTAAGAGACGAAAGACAACAATAAGGGGGTTAATGAGACATACCTTCAGATACTTCATTGTTTTTCCAGATTTCTGCGAATCTTCCGCATTCGATGCAGCCAAATAGCCCTCGGCAAAGGCAATTTTTAAGTTTTCCTGCAATCACAGTTTAATGTTAAGACCCAATTCTATTCGATAAATGAACTCGCAAGGCGTACCGCACTTTGAGCGTTTCCCTGCTCGCCAGATTTGCTGAGTAGTTTTTTAAGCTTCTCGGCCTGAATGTTAAGCTCCCCATCTGGTCTATGTGGGGCTCCTTGGAGTGCAGACTTCAGTCTGGTTGTCATTGTGGGATTGCGTTTCTGTTCCGCCTCTATGGAACGGTCTGTCTTGAAGTCCCGCAGCTGTCTACTGGAGAAATGATGGGACACATTAAAAACATTTCTATCAGCTATTGCAATCTCTCACTCTACTTACAGCTGATGGGTCGTTAAAAGCGGGTTCAGCAGGCCTCTCATGACAGTTGGATATATGCTTCTGCAATCGAAAAGGTATTCTTTTTATAAGTGAACACTTCGTGTCGTTTTAATGCACACAAACCCAATATTTTGCGGGGAGTTCAGTGAGACTTCAAACTTGTAATTTTGTTGCTTGCCACGAGCACTGTGTGTTGCTGGTTCCTCCAGTGTGACATGGATGTTGCGCATTGAGGGCAGCATGCTTGTCACCTTGATGAGTGCATCATTTACGAGCTCCCTGTCCAAGATTCCATTCAGTCGAGCTGCCTTCTCCACAATGCTCTGCAAGCTGGCGCCCGACTTGATGAGCAGATTCTTGAAATCCAGCACGAGGTCGTGGCGTTTACCCTGCGCCGGCGTATTACTGTTGATGCTACTGCTGCTGCTGGAGCTGGAGGACTTTGATTTGTCGGCAAAGAAACGCGGAACACTGCCATTTGTCTGCAGTTTGGTTCGCTTAACGGTGTAATAGTGCGGTTTTCTACTAAAATTACCCAGATAAAGGTAGGGCTGACATTGAATAAAAAACCAAAAAGTCAGTGGATGTGAGAGTGGAATGAATTGTGTATCGGCATCGTAGTTGGCCTGCACTTACCACAGAGTGTGTGTTGGCAGAAAACATTCTCAGAATATACAAAAATTTTTATTAATTACAATAACAGGCTTAGATCGGGCGAGCGGACGACAAAAATTTTTGACAAGCGAAAATGTCATAATCTTGTTGCGTCCGACTTGCATCCCTGTTTGTTTTGTTTGCAGCCCTCGTTCTGTGTAAACCCGCCCAGTCTAATATTTAAAATACTGCAATTTCGAATTTTTATTTCCTCCAAACAGTTTGACAATAAGTACTTTTTCTGCGTGTTGCTTCAACTCAAATGTTGTTAAAATATATATTATATTTTAAGTAAAGGACAACATTGATTTCGCTCACACTGTAATATGTAATTTTTAAATTTTCTGCATGAATGATTACAAATGGAAAGTGAACTACACATAAAATATAATTTATTATTTATGTTGAACTAGTATACAGAAAGTTTTACTTTCACAGCGTACAATAGATTTGTATTTTTTTAGGCTGTGGCATAGGTAACATTCCGAAAATCGATACATTATTTCGCTGACTATCGGAACCGGAACCGAACTTGGAAATGCTGTTTGGCTGGATCGCCTAAACTGTTAACTCGATCGCTGGCCCGAGGGAGTCATCTATCGAGAATACGAATTTAAAGTAATGTTAATTTTAATGGTAATATTCTTGCATACTTTTGTAAGCTGCAAATAAAAACTATCTATACATTCCAGAAAGGTCCAAGAGAGAAAAGTATGCAATACATTTAGCATTTTAACAAAATATTAACAAGATGGCGCTGTGAGCTGTGAGCAATTCAATGGCCTAAAGAATGGCCACAAGATGGCGTAAATGATTAGGCATAATTCAAATATCGATAGCTTGAAGTGTCATCAACACATTTTACAGTGGCATAACAGCACAGAGCGATAACAGCAGATACTTTTGTATCTGTTGAATATTGAACTTCAACGGCCCAACGATCAGTCGAGTTTGAACTTCAACAGGTGTTAAAACGCATTCGTTACGAGAGAATCGGTACCGCACACGATATATCGGTAACATAGGGAGCCAACGGCTTCACTTAACTAATAAAAAGCCAATGTATAGTTTCAATTAACCACATGCTAAACTGATTTTCAAAAACGTGACAAAATATAAATTTTATAAAAAAAAATACACGAAATAACAACTGCAGTGGTAGACAAAACCTTCAGATTAAGTTTTTGTGATTTGTTTCGTTTTGGATAACGTTTGTGTGTTTATTTTAGCGATCATATTACAATTTGGATTACTTCGCTTCATTCGAGAGCAACGTATTTAACGCAGCCCCCAAAAACACGGTAAGTGTAGCTCTAAATATGCAAATTTCCTCAGATGCAAAATTTGGTGGCAGCTCAAGTGCAGTTTAAGCCAGAGCCAGAGCCATAGACATTGAATTTGAATGGAAATGAGGGATGAGATTTCGTCATTTGCGAGTAGGCAAACGGAACACGAGTGCGAAAGCAACAACAAGCGATCAGAGATCAGACAACAAGAGTTTACTCGCTCTACCGCACGTGCTTGCCAAGTACGAGTCGCTCTTGCTTGTACATGCGCTTGCTTGTGTGTGTGTCTGTGTGACTGTGTGCATGCGAGAGTATGTGTGTGGAGTTGCTTGTCGTCTACCTACCTGTGGCTTCATTACCTGCCCGCTGTTGCCTTTGGCTGTGCAGTGCCATATCTAAAACATACCAAAACACACACACACGCACACAGAGTCAGCAGCTGCAGCAGTGTGTGCGTGTGTGTGTGTGTGTGTGTGTACTGTGTATGTATTAATGACATATAAATTTTCAACTTAAGTCGGCATTATCTAAACATTTGCCGTTTTACTACTGAGCCAGCACTGGCCCAGTTCTCCCTCCGGCAATTTGGCAGCTTTATCAGACACAGACAGACAAAAAAAGACAGCCCAACTGTAACCGCAAAGATATGCACTTACTTGCACACACTCACAATATATATATGACACCGTAGTGGACATACATGTGGACAGACAAACATTTACAGTCCACAGACAAAAAAACGGGCATTATTTTCCAAACAACAAATGTGCCGAATAGCAAGAGAAATGAAAAGGTTTTCGCAAGTATACGAAGTCGTTATACACTTAACAAAAAAAATAGGTTTTAATATTGTCAAAAAACTACTAGAAAAAAATATAAATTAACATGATATTAATACTAAATAATATTAAGCGAAGGGCTGTACAAAAAAAACACTTTATATAATAATGAAAGTTTTCTTAGTTATTTTCTGCTTTATGTCAAAGCTGTTTTAGCCGCTCCTAGGGTATGTAAAGGTAGATTACACCTGTGTATGTGGTTGTCTGTGTGTGTGCATGCATATTCCATTACTCTTTTCCTTCAGTGTACTGGCGTTTGTTTGGAAAAGGGGTGCAGCGAGCGGGTGCGGGAGCGGGAAAAAAACCGGTAATGCATTCGAAAAGAAGTCACCTTCATATAAAACTCAACTCGTTGCAAGCCGAGGCAGCAGCGATGTTAAGTCTAGTAAAATCGTAAGACCCGAGACCCGAGACGCCCTGAACCCAATTCGAGATAGGTTTTAGCATTTCGCTGACATTCACCGGGAAACGGCAGCTGCAGCTGTGACATTATCAACCGCGGAATGCTATCTATCTTATAGGTGCGAACTTATCGGAGACAGCTGGTGCTGGAGCTTTCTTCGATGTTGTGCGGGAATGCACGGCAATAAAAGGAATGTGAATAAATTCAGTTGGGCTGAATGGTTGGCTATCGAAAATATTACCCGGCTAAGCGCTGTGGCGACACCAATCACAAAATCACGAGCTATGTACATCAATAATTCCAAACAAGTTTTCAAACAAGTGTTTATTATTATTATTATTTGTTTTTATTTTCTTCTTTTCAAATATACATTTTGATTCACGTCTAGAATTTCTTATCAATTTCGTGGCTGAGTGAAATATAATAAACGAACACAAGCACATATTACTTTTGTACATGCTCGTAAACTAATGGGTAATATATAACGTTAAGAGATATGAATTTATGTGCCTGTACATACACATACATAAATACCCCGTTTGGGCACTTGGGAGGTGCGACATGATTACGTTAGGTAGGCAAACATTGACTGAAAACTAGGTGTGTTGCAATTCCATGAAAAAAAAAACGAGTGTTTTGTATGCAAATTGATTCGCACACAATTCAATTAGCTGGGAACAGCAAGTCCTCGCTAAAGGCGCCAGTTCGAGAGGTTGCCAAAAATGATTCCCCCACACATTAGCCAATTGTTGAATGACAATTTAAAAATCGTTTAAAAGTTTCTAGAAATGTATTTGGCTCACAGAAGGAAACCGCTTCTCTGAGTCGCTTTAGCCATGTCCAACTGTACGTCCATGCGTCTGTAGTTCAGTATGAACTCATCGATCTCGGAAACAACAAGAGCTAGAAACTTGAAATATATATTCTCCTCAAGTATGCATAGAAACAGTTTATTATACTTTATTTGACATCTTTTCCCATGCCCATAATATCTATAAATAACGAGACTGAATTAGAAAAGCTTTTACCCAGGGTATCTCATAGTCGAGCACTCTTGAGTAGACCACTCTAAAACTTGCTTTTTCGTGTCAAGCTGCATCAGTACTGAGACCTTTCCATCATGTGGCTATGTGTCGCCAGGCCCAGTGGCGACATTATCTTATCGCGATATGTTCCATAAGCCGGCCCACAGATAAAAAAAAAGAAGAAAGATAGTGCTAACATAAACGAATAGAGTACAACTGACAGCAGCTCCGACGGCGTTTCGTGTGGCGGGCTAATTGAGGTCAGAGCACTCGGCTCGGGGCTGCCAGCTCGAAACGGCAGCTCCTTCGATCTCTAGATGCCCGGGTGTGTGCTCTGGGCCCAACAGCTCATAAAGAAGCTGGCTGCAAACATTGTTGCTGGCTTGGCTAGTTGAACTCCGCTTGGGAGGAGGGCAAATCTGTGAGCACACTCTGGGCTTAAACTTTATGAGCAGCTTAACGAATTCGTCAAAGTGCCAGACAAACATTTGGCTAAATTAAATGTTGTTCAACGAGCTGGCAGTAACAACAATAACAATTGCCGACTGGCAACTGGCAACTGGCAACTGGCGCAGCTTGTGTGTGGGCAAACTCGGTTAGTTGTATTCGCATTCAAAAAACAGAAACTTAAGTGTCGGCACATGCGGCGTATGCGTAATGCCAACTACACCTATATACACCTATATATATATCTAAATATATCTATATATACACCCTGTAGCGACCAGTTACTGCCAGCTTGTCACATCTTTGCGGCCATTAAATTAACATACTTGCCTTTTTTTAATGAGCTTTAAAATGTCTTATCTGGAGAACCTAAACATATATATGAAAATATTCGTAAACAGATCACGACAATTCGCTAAAACGAATATATGCAAATTGAGCACCTAAAAATCGAGCATATAAGACTTGGACCTATACAAAATGAATGTGTGTATTATAAATAAGCTTGGATTTATTTATATCGTATAACTTCAGTAATATGTTTTTATAGGGTATATCATAGTCGAGCGGCAGCCAAGTGCGTCTAGTTCGCTAATTTGTTTATTGCTGTTGCCTAGTTAGAGAATCGGCGCATGACTGTCATGCCAAAATTGCGATTCTTTAAATAACGAATTATTATTATTTTAAGTGATTTTCGAGTATTTGGCAAATGATGTCATATGGCCAATATGCCCAAAGCCAACCGGATCGCTGCCAGTTCCAAACAGAGCGTGGAGTAAGTCAGAGCCAAATGCACTTTCCCGATACAAGATACAATATGTACATGAATGTGGCCAAGGTATAGGGTATGTTTAGGCGTATATGTTCTTTGTTTAATTAAGCGTGACTCAGACTCGGAGAGTACTGTGACATTTACCTTAACCCTGAGTTGAATCAATCAAGCCTGACTGCGAGATTAATCGATGGCAAATAATTAGTTAATCAGTTTCTGCAACGGTCTCAGCCTTTTATACACATGCACATGGCCCACACTTGGACTCATGCCAATCTCCACCTCGCTGCCCTCGGATCAGATCAAGGCAAGTGACAAACTCCGAGGCAACGTGCCGAGGCATTTGTTAACATACTTGGAGGTGCATTGCTGTGTCGCCATAATTGAATTTCTATTGCAGCGGATCTTAACTTTCACTGGCCAACCATTTGCGTTGGGCAAATACATACAAATTTCTTGGCTGGAACACCCTCTTTGTATGCA